CTCCCTCCATCTATAATTAGAGAACATAATTTATTGTTGATAAAACATTATGTGGAAAATATTTTCTCTTTAGGACTCATCAAGATCTTTTTGTACTTGTCCCAACATACACCTTATTACCAACAAATCACCATCACAAGGATGAATCTCATCATCACTTGAGGAGGAAGGTGAGGAAGAGGAAGAATCCCTAGTGGGGGAAGGGGGAGATGAGTGTTCACTCTCCACCTCTCCACTTTATCTCAATATCATATTCCTCTTGGTAGGGAAATTTGAAGCAATATGCTCATACCCTAAACATTTAATACATTTGATGGAACTTGATTTTGAGGGATTTGAAGAGGTGGGGTGTTTATCCTTAGGCGCATTTCCCCCATTGGTGGTTTCAAGAGAGTTCTTGGAAGGTTTTCTATCGTACTTCTCTTTACTCTTATCCTTCCATGAAGAGTTGTGGTAGGAACTATTATGATTACTCCTCCTTGCACCATCTTTTCTTTGAAGTTGAGTTTCTATTTTTAGTGCAAGGTGTATAACATTTTCAATTGAGGAGTATTCATATAGTTCTACTAAATATTGAATGTCTCTCCTAAGTCCACTAACAAATCTAGCTACCTTGGCCTCATTTGTCTCATCAACATCGGCTTTAAGCATAAGAGATTCCATCAACTTAAAATAATCATCCACACATAAACTACCGCGCATAATAAACTTTAAGTCCATCCAAGTGGTCGCGGGTGGCCCTTGGTTCAATCCATGTTCTTTAAAAATTTTATGCCACCAAGTCATGGCATAACTTTCAAATTCTAAAACAATTAAATCTACTTGGTGATCTTCTTGGATAGCGTTGACACTCATGATTTTGTCCACCTTTGACTCTCATTCCAAGTACGTGTCTGGATCATTGTCTCCATAAAACTTTGGGATCTTCACATTGAGGTATTGTTTCTTGAGAGATTGATGTTGCACCCTTCGTGCTCCTTGAAGCCTCCACTCTTCATCATTGTTGTGGAACTCTCTTGAGAAGTAGGACCTCCTTCTATTATGCTCATCTCTTTTTCTCCTAAGTTAGCGAATCTCCTCTCTTAATTCTCTTTCTCTTTCTTGCTTGGAGATCTCCATCTCTCTCAAAAAATCCACAAGAGGAAGTTTGGCTTGCCTCTTAAGTTGGACTTCCATTTCCTTACTTAGCTTGTTAGCTCTTGGAGGGGAGATAGGGAAGAAGAAGTTTCGGACATTGTACCTATAAACAAAAAAAAAACAACAAAAAAACAAGAATGAAACTTCAAAAGTTAATGAATTTAACTCTCACTCAAGTGTTTTACCTCCTCACCAAAATGAATAGAAATTGTTCACTCACACTCTTTATGTAAACAAGTGTACATCTCTCAAACTAACACTCATCAAGAGTAAGAATCAAGTAGAAAAGAAAAACAATAATTACCACTTCAAAAGAAAGCAAAGGAAGAAAACTTCAAATACAAAACTTAAAGATTCTTAAAGACTAAAACAAGAAAAGGTAAAAGACAAAAAAAAAGGGTGACAATTACAATAGAGTTGATTTTAGACAAAACTTTAAAAGAAGACTAAAGCAGAAGAAGGTAACAATAAAGACTCTAAGAAGCACCAAAATATACAAATAAAAGTTCAATTTCAAGCACATAAAAGAAGATTAGGATCCTACTATGTGATGGAGCTAATTTGCCACATTCAATCCAAGTTGTAGGTGTGTATTTAAGTCCAAAAATAACCATTAAAAACAACCAAGTTTTTTTTTTTTTTAAGTCAAATTGCACCCAAATCTTTGTTGAAAATTCAATGTTTTAAGGTGCAAACACTTCTTTAATTTGGCCAAAATAATTCTTTTGCTTCTCACAATTTTTCTAGACTTAAACACACAATTTTAAAAGAAGAATATGAAGCTTTTAGTCCCTATTTTTGGATTCCCCATCAATTCAATTTATGCACTCTTCACTAACGCATTTTATCAAACACATTTCAACACTGGAATTTTAACCAAGAAAACTCAATGGAAAACAAGACATATGACTCAAGCAAAGCTAGGAAAACACAAGAAGACTTAACCCAAAATAAAAGAACATTATAACATGGAAACAAGGGAGGAAAACAACCAAGATAATGCCTAGATTTTCGCACAAAACTGCCCAGAATTTTTCAACAACCAAAAATGCAACTCCTCTGATGTGAACATGACCTATGATAAGGGCTAGAGCAAGGGAAACAAAGGAAGTTCTTCAACAAGTATTGTGGTTGACCAAATTGTGTTTTGGATTAATCAATTAATGGACTTTAGTTTGGTTTTATTGCAAGTTGTAATAAGGGCCCAATTGAAAATTTAGTTATCAGTCTTTGGGAGACCAAGAGGGTGTATAGCTGATTGACTTTTGGATGCCACAATTTCAGTTATAATCAATCATTAAGTAGTTTTCAATTCATAGATTAATAGATCATTATTAGCCTTTATTTGTCTCCATTAAGTAGTTTTCAATTCCTAGGTTAATGAATCATTATTAGCATTTATTTTCTTTTATTAAATCTTTGTAATTTTGATGGTAAATCTTCTATATAGGCTGAACCATTTTTATCAAAAATAACAAGTGGAATTTTATTCAGAACTATTAGAGTTTATTTTTTTTATCTTAATGAGAGTGATTTTCCTAAATTCTTAAGTGATTCAAGAACCCTTGGCTGTATCAAAGGACTTTCACATCCTTTGTGAGTTGTCTTCCTTAGAAAGAGTGATTCTTTCCTTCCACCTTATCACTAAATTCCTAAATTTCTTACAAGGTTCTAACCCTAAAGATCCTAAATCACTCCTTGTGATTCATATCACAAGGGAGGAAAATGTTGGACCACTTAGATGCACCAATACATGGTGAAAAAAAATCCATACTTGTTATTGGTTCAAGGGAGCACAAAAATAACTAAAAGACAGCAGAAAGACAATGATATTAAGTATTAAACATAGGCAAGACAACAAAGAAATTAGCTCATGATACCAAATTATGTAAACCCCTTTTATGGATTATGGATTGAGTTGATTATTAGATTAATTTTAGAGGAAAAAGAAAAAAAAAACCCAAAGAAAATCCCCACTAGACATTAAGATAACATGATGTTATCTAGATGTGAAAGTTCATTTCAAATGGGATTCAAAAGGAAGAAAATGAAATATGATATTGGGACAATTAATCAAACACATGGTAGGTAAATGAAAATAAAAATCAACATGGAATAAGTACAAAGGAGATAAGAACCAAATGAAGTGGAATGACAGTTGATGAGTCACGCCACTTGGGTGGTGGATACCCAAGGTAAGTGGTGGTGCCGCCACTTGAATCACACTTAAGATAAGACTAAGAGAGGGTGAGGAACACTCACAACAAAAGCTGAAAAATTCTTACTAATTTTTTTCTCATCCAAAAGTCCCTTTATATGGTGAATGAGAGCCCTATTTATAGGCATGGATGACCCCCAAATTACAATCAAATGCAACAGAAATTACATATAAATTAACCCTAAAGAATGGTCTAGAAACTAGGTTTACACCTTCCTAAAGAGCAAAAGATGTGGGTTGCTGTAACGGGGTGCTAAAAACACTTCAAAAATGGGCTTGATATTTCCAAAAAGGTGCAAAAAATGTGGCAGTACTTAGGGAGAGAAGGGCGGTGCCCCTCCAAGTATTTGGTGGTTCCAAAGCTCAAAATGTGATGGCGGTGAACTTATCCAAAGTGTGGTGCCTTTAGAAAGTCCTATAAAACAAAGGAAAATAAGTCCAATTAAAATTAAGCTTGAAAAATTAAAATAAAAAGTAAAGAGACGGTTTTAAGAGATGTAAATGTGTCTTTTCTAATCATGTTTCTAGTAATCCTCCTAAGACACGCTTGGTCTTTTTTTTTGGGCTCAAGACTTCATCAAGATTCGTTGGTGCATGCATGTAGAGAAATTCCTAAGAATCTCTACAAAATGTTGAGAATCTCTGCAAAAATTGTTTCACATATTGTCATAATTATTTATTATTACTAGTCAACATTAATTATTATTTTTTAATTTATAATCATTTAATTATTAGTCAGATAATTTATTTAATATGTCAAAATTATTTTTTAATGTATATGCGGGGTAAATAATTTTGTAATTGTTTATTTATAAAAAATTTAATAGCTATTTTAAAAAATTTTAATTTTGTAAATTTTTGTTCCACGTACAAATAGTGTAAAAAAATTTATTATTATTTTTTTTCTTCCAAATATGCAATCAAAGTTAAAATGTGAGTAGTTAATTAAAAAATTACATTTATAATAATTCTAATCTTATTTTATACATAATGATAAAATGATAATTTTTTCAAATAATCAATTAAAATTATAATTTTTATATCTTATGTCAATCAAATCATTCACAATTTTTTATAGATTTTTTCTTCATTTAAACAACTTTAATTTCTCTTCCATTTTTTTTCAAATCCCTCCTTTTTCCCTCCCCAACTTATTGCAACCAAACAATACATTATTGAGGAGAACTTTGTTATTTGATAGAAGAACGAACATTGAAAGCACCATTTCCAATAAATAAGAGAGACATACATTTCACAGCACCATTAAGTGAATGATCATTCAACTACTTTGAAAGAAAAATATTTTCACTAATTATGTAAAGTAAAAGCATATGAGAAATAAATAATCATTTCCCTGATTAGATGAAAATATGCAAGCAACATAATAAAGAGTTAGACAAGAATCAATTTAAAGTGAAGAACACAGAAATAATTCACACGAAGAATTTCAGAGACTGAGTCCATTCAGTCTGCCGATTGTCCTAGTTTCACAGTTACAATGTACATACAACCAAGTCCCTCAGCAACTACACTTCACAATTTGTACACACAGAAGACTCTAGTCAACACACAACTGTTACCCACTTCCACTTTTGTAGAAATAACACGTCCACTCCATGTATGCCTCAAAGCCCACAAGTGGGCTTTAGTTATTATTATTAAGCATAGTTTCTATCAATTCGGGCTTCACTCTTGGAGGCCTGCCTCTAGGCCTCCCACTGGGCGTCACCGGGGAAGGTGATGCTTTGCCGAGTCCTCCAGCGGGCCGGGCCATCTTCCTGGGCCGGCCTCTTGGCCTGCCACTACCAGTCAAGGCTTTGGGTGGCCTTGGCGTGTCATTTGGGCCTTTTGGCGGACGGCCCCTGGGCCTGGGCGGTGACAAGACAGTACCAGGAGGCAGAGGCTCCCTGGGCTTGGGTGGCCTGCCACGGCCACGCCGGGGCGGCGCGTTTGGGTCACGTTTGGTGTAGTTATTCTTCCAAAAGTCAAGCACCCCAGCGTCCCTCATTTTTGCAAGGTGCACATTCAGCAGTACCTTGTGGCCAGGGGGCAACACACCGTACCTAGATTCTATGTACTTGGAAATTGATGTTTTATTCGAACCATTCCCTTCATTCAGTGCCTCAATTGCCTCCAAAATCATCTGAAATAAAAATTCACACACCATAACTCAGTCTTCCTATTTCCTTTTGACAAGCAACCCATCACTTAGTTTCTAGGGAAAATAAAATAGTAGAATTAACCCTGCCTATGAAATATCCCTGAAATTATAACCAGAAGAGCAAAAAATTAAAGGGTAATTTCAGATCAATTATGGCTAAGAAATTTGACAAGGTTATTTTTGTGTTGGAAAAGAAAGAGATTAATGAGAGGTGGTTACAATTTACTTACCTCGGGGTAGGGAGGAAGTGAAGGGAATTTATTAATGATCTCTCCAGATTCCATTAAAGTTAGTTGCAGAGTTTGTTTGATTGATGGTTTGGTACCTCGGATTCCAAGGGTAACCCTAGGAACTGAAGTTTAAAAACAAAAGCAAGAGCTTTCAATGTTTTCACACAGGACTGTCTTGTTTGAGCAGAAGCTGCAAGGAAATGGGGATCTGATTTGAAGGGAGACAATAAATAATAAAAAAGCAAAAAAGCTTCTTTCTTTTCCAATAAGAGAAATACGGACGGTTGGGAATCGCGGAATGGGATGTGATCCAACGGTTGGATCTTAATTTGAGGAGAGACTCGGATCGATGACGTGACACTGGTTTTAACTTTACAATGGATTAATGATCGTACGAGATGTTGCTGAGAATGATGCTGATTGCAGTGAGGTGTGAGAGTGGGGCCCGCAAAGGCAAATGCGGAAAAAATGGTGTAAAAGGAGTATACCATCAAGGATGGAGATTTTCTCTCTTATCCACCATCTGTCGTCTTGTCTCTCTCCTTCAGATATGGTGCTTCTTCTTCTTCCCTCTTCCCATTACCTTCTTCTTTCTACATTTCCCAACCAATAATTACCTACTCTTTTTTATCACCTTTCTTCACAGTAACAATTAACTGTGATGTTTCTTTTTTAAAACCCAAAGAAAATTACTCAAAATATTACTAGTCATTAGTGAGTTTGAAAAAATATCATATAATGCATTCAAATTATAACTAATTTGGTCATGTTAAGTACATGTACCATGTGCCCTACTTGTCAAATCAATTCATATATCAGGTCGGGACCAATAGTATTTAATCAATAACTTCCATCCATGCATCATTTCATTCCCCTCTCTCTATAGAGAATTAATTTATACCAATTACTATATCATTTAATATTTTTAATTACATAATTTAATTTATATTAAGAAACATAGTTTGTTTTTAAAGTTATAGTTTTTTTTGCCGAAATACTAAACTTTTCTTTTGTGTTTTCAATGATCTGAAAACGGATTATTGTTAAATGATTATTGACCACAAATTTCCTAATGGGTAACTTAGTAACATAGAACATTCAAGTTTTGGAATATGATTAACGTAGATCCCCATTTTCATTCAGAATTTTAGTAAAACGTGAAATTGACGATAGTCATTTCTAATTTTAGTCCTTAAAAAAAATCTTAAAAGACACTCTCATTGTTGCTTATGAGATGGATATTTTAATGAAGATCAGAGTCAATACCGCAATAAGGAAACGAAGCAATGTAGTTCTCATTTATTTTAGGGAATGCAACTATTTTCATACCCGCATCCCCACCAAACATGTTACAATCTTAGGCCAACTATTCTTAACAAATATTTATTCCGTAATCCATAGTGAATGAGTAAGATTATAATACAAATCGATATAGGACTTGAACTCTTGATAGATTGTTATTTCTTGAGGTTATAGTCGTGACTGTCTCGTGAAAATGATAATGTGTGAGCAGTGGGTATTATTAACCTTCCACTTTAGGACGCCAACCTTCAATGACATCCTGTGGTTGTGCACTTGTTTTAATGAACGATTCCCTCGAGAAGATGGCCTGCACTTTCACCATAATTAGCTATAGCGAACAGAAACTTAAACAAAAGAGTTTTCAAAGTATTCTTAGCTCTAATGCATAGCAAACAGCAAACTCAAACAAAGAATTCTAATTCATCAAGGGTCAACTCTCTGACAAACAATCAATTAGTGAACTTAATTTAGAAACTAACACTAGGATTTAATATACATCAGCATAATTAGCCAAAATGTTTTTCGTTAATATAAACTCCAAGTTGGGTTACAATTGGTGAATGAATATTTTAACTTTTATAGTACTCCGACAGTCACTAGTAAATATTCAAGGTAATCAGAAGCAGACGATACTTCTGCTTCTTCAATGAAATGGCTCAAGTTTTAAGTTCTGAAGAAGTTCAGGTCTTTCTTTTTGTTAATAAGCATTTTCAGACCTTCGTCTATGGTTTTCGACATCGCCAATGCAGAAAACTTCTGGACATGATTCTCACAAATTTAATAAACTATTACTTGAGAATCGTTGTCAGCAACATATGGATGTAGGGAACTAGCTTCATGCACAATGTTTTAGTTTTGAAAAGTGCCTTGTAGTACAAAAAATGATATGAAGACGTTGAGTATAGCCTCATCTAGAACATACCTTCGTATAAGACTTCAAAGATGTAAGCGAATCAGGTACTGTCCATTTCTTATAATGGCCCAGAGCAATCTCCAAATGGAATAGCTTTGGTCCAAGTGATAGGTCAGCTGCAGATATCTCATTACCGTTGATGAAAGGGCCCTACAAAAAGGAAAAAAAATCAGTCAATAAAATAAAGAAGAAAATTTCCTGAAACATAACTATGTAAACTAAAGATAATACAAAAGCCCTTCCTCAAAGCCTTAAAAAAAGAACAACATAGAGTATAGAAGGATAGAAACAAGAAAACAAAATCCTTCTGGCTACAAGTTGGAAGATAACGATCTTGGATCAAGTTCTCCATCATCACTAATAGATACACATACTGATGTTACTGGAGTTATCGGGCCCCTTAACTTAATGGAAGAGCCATTTTCCTTATGCTTGTTCAAGTCAAGGAAATTGCAAGCATTAAAAAACTTCCAACTTCTAGTTATAAAATATATTTGATAGATAAGGGTAGGATTGGGTAGTATAGTACCCATACTGACAATTTTTTGTGAGTAATTAGTCATACTAGACCCATTTGAATGGTAACTTCTATGGATACCCATTAGGTTCAATTGACATCCCTATTTGAAATACATTTTCTTCCTCTGATTTTCTAATTTGTTCTGTCCACTGTTCTTGGAATACAGTATTAAAGGTTCATCCCAGCCAATCCTAATTGATTCCCGGTTTTGATTTTTTGTTAGAAACTATAAATTTAGAGTTACAAGGCCGGCAGTGCCATTCTATGCCATGAACTGTCATTTTTTCTGCATTTTTGTAAGATTACATTTCGGCATTGTTGCTCTTTTCATTTTAATTAAGTGTAGGGCAAACGTGTACCCATTTGAACACGAAACCAGAATTGACTTTTCCTCATCTCTCTCAATATTATCTAAAAGTTGGCTAATAGCTGCTTTAAGCTTATCATTGTTTTTGGATGATTCTGCCATGGATTCTCTGTGACTCTCAACGAGGGTACCAAAATGTAAGGTCTTTCTTCGGGGGAATGCTACCTCCAACTAAGAAAAAAAAAACAGAAATATCCCTCTTCTCTTATTGAATGGAAATATTCACATACAAATAACAAGGATTTTGCCTAAAGGCTCAAAGTCACGTCACCACTATTCAGATAATCAAATCTAGCATATATCCTAACAACCCAAAGGGAAATATTAGCCAGCATCCAAAGCTTACATTATCATGCACCCTTTCCCAACTAATTGGTAACATAGTCTTCTAGATACTTGGGTCTGATTCTATTATGTTTGGTCTTGACTTGTGTAATTGGATTGCCCTTCTCACAGCAGTCCTCCAAGCTCACTGAGTCATCATTCTCATTTTGGGCCATAACACTTTTCCTCATCTCTCCCTATATTCTCCCTGGCCTTCACAACTCTTTTGATCACTCAAGTACTCTTCTATCACTAAGCTAATATCTCATCAAGAGACTTTATTTATTTTTTACTTCTTGTCACATCAAGTACCAGAGATTTGATCTCTGGAATGCATGCTGATGGCTACTGCTACGGGAAACCCACACATCAGTGATCCTTGAACAGAAGAATTAATGAAATTAAGACACAGGAAAAACTTAATTAGTTGCCAGGCTCAATGAGACAAAGTTAAAGGAGTAGTTATACAGGTGTGAGAATATTTAGCTCTTGATAATCCATATCCTGAATCAAGTGAGAGTGGCACCTCTATTATTTAAAACTGAGGTTCCCATTGTATCCCAATTGGCCAGCATGTATATAACAGATATTTATTTAATGAACATTTTTTAGGATTCACTCTCAGAGCTGATACATGTAAAGCAAACTAGATGCGTAAAGGTGTTCATTGATGCCTAGGAGATGGCCATAACATGGGCTTGAGCATCACAAGTGCAGATGTAATGGAGAATGTTTAATCCCACTTATGTCACTCATGTTAATCTTTCCAGATTACAAGAAGCCTCCTAATTACCCGTCTCTAACCCAAAACCCACCACTTCACACACCACACCAAATCAACCCCAATCCATTTGGAAACAGCACCTAACCCCTTAAATAAAATAATTGCTTACACAAATACCCCTACCTGGCCGAACACACATAAAAACAGCTGAATATGATAAGCAAACCACCCAGGAACCTTTACTGCTACTGAGATGTCTCATAGAAGAGCAACATGGCTTGTATTGTTTTGTGATGTGCCATTCTTCCCTGGCAGGTTCAGGCATCCATTTGAATTAGATGAGGAAGAAAATCCTGAGATCATGATAATGGTCATACAAATGGGCACAATATTGTGCAATAAATTTGCTATTTGCTCTCCATGAACATGTTATCTGGAGTGTCTAGTTATCAGACAGAGGGTACTGACATGTATAATAAATTTACTTCACGTTTGATTGATGGAGGTGGTAGCACACATGGCTTCCCTGATATACAACTTATACAAAAATTGGCACGCAAATTGGAGTCAAGTCAGTCTCTATTTTATCACCTGCAGAGGTCAATGTTCTTAAAACATGGATCTGCCTCTAATTCAACCCCAAAATGGAAAAATTTACCTCATACAGTAAGGATTGTTCCCCACTTGTATACATTATATCCACACTATCTCTAGTTAACATGAGACTTAGGTTTTTTCTAGTACATCCTTTGCCCCCCAACACTCTTGGTTTTGTGCATGGATAATATAATAAGTGGTCCAATAACAAATATATCGAAGACTCTAATACCATCTTAGTATATAGCTTTGTAGTCAACTAAACCCCAAAAGCTAGCTCATTCGGCTAAGGTTGCCCCTCACTTGTATGCATCTCTTGGCAGATGGAAGTAAGCTATATACTCAGTTTGCGTAAAGGATTTCAACAGCATCTTCACCTAATCACTTTCACTTCTAATGTGACGGCCTTTCACCTCTAAAGTCGTGGTCCTTCCTTTGGAATGTTGCGACAGGAAGTAAAATAGAAAAGGTCTCTAGGCTAGGAAGTAGCTTAATGGTAGATGAGCATTCTGTTGATCAAAAGAATCGTAAAAGGTAGGGAGAATTCAGGGAGAAATGAATGACATATTCAACCAACTGGCTGTAATCCTAAAAAAATTCAATGAGAAAATGGAAATAAAAGTTCCACACTTCTCTGTAACATGTAGTAACATCTTATGTAATTGGAGTATAAAACACATTAGAGCTGTGATGAATGTTACATGAATAAACATAAAATATATATTGAAGTTGGATGAATGGGTTTGTTATGTAAGCTCCCATATTAAACGCCAGAAATATGCAAGGAAAAGCCAAAGACAGAAGAGAAAGCAGGGAAGTTGCCATACATAGGGTTAACATGTATCCCGAGCTAATGTTTATCCTTACCACATCTCAATTCTGTATTAAATGCATAAACAGAATAAAACAAGGTAATGAAATATCCTTTTAAATATAGGTATACCAACTGCAACTAATTAATTTTTCAAACTTTACCATTATTTAGCTTAAGCTTTACCAGGGTTGAAACAAAAAAAGGTTAGTCCACAAGGGAAGCATGCAAGAAAGGATAATGGTTCATTTGAAATTCATAGTACTTCTTCTATGGCTAAAACTTCATCACTAAATCAAAAACCTGATCAAGATTGCAAACAAGTAGCAGAGTCGAATGCAGAAAAATGTCATACATTTTCCTTGATGTAATCATTGAAAGAGGTCAGTTCATTTAGTAATGCTTGTTCTGTTCCATCATTGGGATCCTTGCTCTTGAGAAACCCAATAAATGTAGAAAAGATCTTCGAACCCCTACAGAAAAAAACACATACATATACATTACGCAACTGGAGTACGTTTAATTTTAATATATTCGTGTAAACATAAAAAAAAAATAATAGGTTGATATGGAGTACAAGGAAAACAAAAATGAGTAATAAAAAAATGAAGGTATGAGTTCTTCATGCATTTTTCTAAAAGTTAAAAGCAATGTACAACTAAGAGTAACTACATCTATAAGCAAAATGCATACACTGTGGCCTTTTCAGGTGGGGTCACCAATGGTGGGCTAGGATACTTCTCTTCCAATGTTTGAGTGATAACATCTGAATCGGGAACCCACTTCTCATCAAACTTTATGACAGGAACTTTACCATCAGGATTTATTTTAAGGAACCTAAACCAACAAAGCAAAATATAAGGAATAAAACAACTAAAGTAGTATGAGAGCCAGACATGTCTGTAGGTGATTCAGTTTTATGAAGATAGCTAATCTAAAAGTGAAAAAAGAAGAAGAAGAAGAAGAAAAATTTTAGCCCAAAGAAACGGAGTGGAAGATACCATTCTGGCTTGTTGGTCAAATCCACCAACTTTGGGTCATAAGGTAGATGCTTTTCTTCCAGTGTTAGTAATACCCTTTGGCAAAAAGGACCTGAAAAGACAATTTAAAGAGTAACACTAATTGATTATACCAACAAAAAATCATTATTTTCTTTCTTAAATACAAAATATATACATAATTAGCTCTCTTTAATAACAGGAAAAAATCTCTTCTGGCGTTACCTACATCATGATATTGAAACAAAATACCAAAAAGTCATTCTCCAACTCAAAAACATGAGAAATCACCTAATCTCTTCTGCTACCATTACACATACATATAATACGAAGGCGGGAAAGGTCGTTCGGATAAATTTCTCAATGAGCTGTTATACGAGAAGAAAATAAGAAGGTAAAATGAATTAATTTTCTACTATAACATAAATTAAAATTAATTTATACATAAACTAATTAATTAATAGAAGTTCTCATGTTTAGCTTCTAAAAAAGCTGATTTTAAATATGCTTGAACTAACTTCATGAACAACTTACTTCAGTTTACCTTTTTATTTCTTCTTTTTCATATACTTATTGAGACGTTTTATACAAGCAGGGCCTCAAAGGTTAGATTTTTGTAAAGTTTGGTAGAAACATGACAACAGAAAACATTTTCACTAACCAAACAACCCTTGCAATTTGAGGGAAAGAAAGCGACAAATGAGTGAAAATTGAGAATGCACGTGGACATAATTTGAGTCTAGATACATCCTAATTTTCGTTCCTTCATCTTACCATGCCAACATTTCTCTTTTTCTAATCCTTTCATGCACATAACCATTCCCGTAACAAGATAGTAATTTCAATTTCCATCGAAGAAACCAAAGAGATGTTCAACACTAAACCAAAACGAAACATAAAAATTGCACAAAAAAATAAACATATTATATTACAGTCGCCGAGCCTGTTGGGTGTGGTGACGGAAGCTTTAACGGCGATTTCGAAGGGTTGGGAAGGAGGAACGGAAGACATTGACACCACCCTCAGAGGCCTCTTCCTGAAATGGTTGGTGAAGGAAACGACGGCGTTCGGGCGGAGACGAAGGTGGTTGACGGTGGCGGAAAACGCACACGCCGAAACTTGAACTCTCGCAGTGGACATTCCCAGTGTCTACTCTCAACCTTTGAACGGTGAAGCTGACGATGATGTTGCGTTCTGTTTTTGGCTTCTGCGATGTTTACGTGGCACTATCCAACATTTCCACGACAACATGTCTTTAAGTTTGAAATAAAAATTAATATTTTTAATTTGATTAGAATGTATAGGAAGTACACAAATTTAATTATAAATTATTTGATACGATAAACTTATTTATTTTTATCATAATTATTGAAGGTAATTTTAATTTATCAATTAATGATATGGTTTAGTGAATGGAATTTTTAATAGTTTATCACTTTCTATCTCCGATTTAAGAAAAAATTATTTATGTTAATTAAGAAAATTAGTTAACTTTATATTAAAATATTTTTAACCAAGTCATTTTAAAAAACTCGACATTGAAAATAAAAAACTAACTAATTGAATGATAATTTAAAAATAATCTCATTAAATCACATAATATATTCTAGTATTATTTATTTATTTTTGTTTATGTATATTATTGTTTTCCTTCTCCATATATGCATATGAAATTGAATATGCTTTCTCTTTAGCAAAATAGTGTGATGTTTAGTAGTTTTATTTTAAACGTTTGAATTTATAATTTAAGTTTATCTAAATTCGAAATACTCGTATAAATCCAAATATTTAATATACTATTTGCTTACAAATTTTGTTTGAATTAACTAGAAATCTATCAAAAAATGGGCCAATAAGAGTCCATGAAAAGAAAAACGGCCGAAGCGGGATCATAGAAACCTGAAAGCCCAAAAAAACATGGACAGGTAATGGCCTGCACTGCTCTTTGCACACACGCGCACAATCTAATCAAGAAACGATACTTACCCATTTTTTTACCATCTTAATTTTTTCTACTTCAACTTTTATATTTTTATTGTTCTTAAAATTAATCTCACAAAAATGTATTTTAGACATTTCAAAATCTATTTTTCTGGAATATAAAAAAAAAAAGTATAGATCCGAAGAGAGAGCATGATTATAAAGATGAACGTGTGATTGATTCGATTAGATTTAAACTAGGATCTCTTAAATATATTTTTGCAATAGCGTTTAATTTAATGAGCAAAAATAACATGATTGGAAAGAAAAACTCTGTTAAAAGGCCAGCACATTGGATATAAGAGTTCATAGAATAATTGGGCTTCATGGAAAGTACTTTTTCAAAATTTACTGGCCCAACAATACTCGAGGGAAAAAAGCTCGTATTCTTCAGCAATTTTTTATTTATTTATAGAAAAGAGAAAGATAATAATCATTATCATCATATTATCTCACGTGGCATACACTATAACAAATAAATCACAAGAATCAATGTTTATGACATTTTTCAATTTTAACAAAACCAACTTTCACGTTACAAATCCAATCACGTGCTAGACTATTATGAGGAATATCAGCCAGCTAGCCAAACCAAGAATAACCAGGAATAATGATTCTAACATAAATATATTTGTTCAATTACAAATCTCATAGATCTAATCAACACTCGTGACATATTATACCAATATTAATATTATATATGTGTGATTAAATAGAAAAGTTCAAATATAACTCTATCTAGTAGTACGCTGTTCCAATGATCCAACATTGTCTTAAGAACTTCAAGTTCCTAGTTGTGATGGCAAATTGAATTTGACTAGTGTCTTCAAGTGTTTGATGACAAATACAAGAACTTCATTGCTAAAGCCAACAAGAATATCTCTACTTGAAAATTAGGGTTGGGTGTGAAAGCCAATGGACTATTGAATGATTGAATACTGTTTTGTGATCCACAACCAAATAATGAATGGTTTGAGATAATTTGGTAGTACAATACAGAATAATGTAAGAGTATAAGGGGACCTTCTTAAGAGAGACCACTTTTTAGTCATGAGGGACATTTTTTAGTGATGTCTTTGTGGTTCCATCTGTCAATGGTCAAGATGTGTCTTTACCATGTTTTGAGATTAGTTTTCTTAGTTTTGTATTTTGATTTTGAAGTTTGCTCCACCTTGAGAGTGGTTAATAAGCTTTAATCAAGACATTTTTTTGTCATTTTGTTTGGATGACCCTATTTTGATCATAAACTATTACAACTATGAAGAATCTCATTTCTAGTTTTTTTTTTTTTTCACACTTGTAAACTTGAAAGTGATGAAAGATTAAAATAAGAACCTATAAAATTATTTTTCATCAATGGTTAGAATCATTCCTCTGTCACCCCTTCATAAATTGAAAGTTGCTAACATTTACATATAAAGGAAAGAGTTGAATGAATATACATTGCCTATACAAAAAGAATTAGACTATTAATTAATAACAAAAATGTATTTCACACAACTTTTAATATAATTATTATAAAAGTTAAGCAAACTTATCATCTATGTCTGTATTATCATTACATATATTATTTATTCTAAAAGGAATAACAACCACATATGCAATTCCCCTTTTCTTTATTTTTTTCCTTATTATGTAATTTATTTTGGGAGAACAATGTCTAGAATATGCAACAAAAACTTCCCTAATTGAAAAATAAAATCACAAGTTATCAACAATCTTCAATATTTTATCGGATACTAATTAAGAAATATATGTTATCTCTTGTTTGGTTAGTGTGTGGGGTTTTGGTTGATTCTTTGAAATGGCGCACTAATTAAGTAGATTAATTGAGTGGACCCAACATGCAATCAGAAAGTCTTCATGATTGAATTCGATCGAGTATACCCATATTTCAGAGGAATTAAAAATGAATTTCATATTTGTATACTGGATTTTGGTATATGCCAATCAAGAAAAATCAATAAATTATATAAATTTTATATTTTTCTTTGCTTCACGATCAACAAATTAAATTGGCTATGTGCAATGGCAGATGTCGAACAATATAAAAAAAATGGAGAAAAGAAAATAATTTAAGATACTTAAAATTCCTCTCTTCCAATTTTTTATTATCTCCTGTTGGAGATTTGAATAAGATGAAAAGTGATTTACAACTTTTAGATTAATAATGAATTATTCATAATATTTTATAATCACTTTTCCCTCTTATCTATCTCATTAAAATTCCCCACGTCCCTTTCCCGTCCTTGAACCAATCAAGTTGATATATTATTTATTGGATCTATGGTTATGTGGTTGGGTGTTCCATTGCATTTCAGTTCTCATTGGATCTCTCCAAAGATAGATAAAAAAGAAGAAGTGAAAAGGCAATGTTTAGAAAACGCAATTTGAATTAATGCTGTAAATTTAACATGGAATGCAAAAGCACAAGTCTTGAAATGATATTTATTTTACTAATTTTGTATTATTACTAATGATAATCCTACATTTCACTCCCCAACCATTTTTTTTCCTGTTTAAAAATAAATATTTGTCGTAAAAACATGTTTTTATATATTACTTATTTCTTTGATATGTTGTCGAATACCACTTTTTCAATTGCTTTTTGCAAATTTATAATTGAAAATATTTTTATTTTATTTTATTTTAATTTGGACATATAATGAAATATACAAGGGATATGCTTGATTTTATCCGTAAAAAAAGAAGAAGGAAAACAGTAAATTTAAGGAAAGGAAAAAGTAAAAAGATTATGTGGAATTGGGCTTGAAACCCTACACATAAACTTTCTATGGACATGATTAAGAGCAGGGACCCAAACATGTCCAAAATCACATGGAAAGACATGCATGTGGGGATTGTTTGGGATAGGCAATGACTTGCTCTAAAAAAGTGGACACCCATCATTCAATTTTTTGCCTTTGTTTAGAGTGTAAAGTTGCTTCAACAATAGTGGCACAAACTGCATATCCTTTACTTGTTTTTGGGACTAAAACATCACAAATTGCATCTCCTTGTTTCACAATCAATGATTTACTAGTTCTGCTATTGCCACAACCCTACACCAAACCTTAACACAGTTAACTGTTAAACATTAATCATTACTTCTCACTTCTTACTCAAAACTCTTCACCACCATTCACACTTTATTTATTAGGTATTCTTCATCAACTCAATGTTCAAACAGTAAAATAATCATTTTTTAAAGAGTGAATTACACTCTAGTTTTTATGAGAAATGTAACTACTACGCAACTTTTCTCTTCTGCATTTTTCTCATTTATATTAAATTATTTTATTTTTTACTCTGAGTGCATAAGAAACAAGAACATATTGGTTAGTTATATTGAAATTTTACAGAACTCCTTCATCTTTAAATAAAACATAACGATATTCTTAACGAACTTTATTAATATTTTCATTTGAAAACAAAATATTGGAAATTATCAACTGCCCTTAAAAAAACCCTTAATTTGGTTTCACTTAAAAAACAAACAAGGTCTACTACATATTATCCCTATTATCTATAACTTGGTCTTTAATTTGAATTTTATAAAAAATAAAGGGTATTGGCAATTTTAGGAAAAGAAAATTGCTGATCTAATTAAGGTAAGATTTTTGTGACAGTGAGGGGCAAGGATAGTAATGGATGGGCACCGATGTTTTTGTGTCACCACACTTGAGATGTTGTGGATGTGTAGTTGAATTGGTTTCGTGGATGTGGAAGCTCTCTCTCATCCTTGTTTCCAATAATGAATGATGATTCTGTGTAGAGATAGGAAACTTAAATTGACAGACTCATATTACATAACAAGACTCTGCAGGAAAGAGAATTGCACCTAATTGATTCACTGCCTAATTAGACCCCACTTGTGTGATCTTCAAAATCATTACCATGTGACTTCTCTTTGATCAGATTGTGATACCCCTCTTCCTTAATTATTTGGCTAGGTTCTTTCTTTCCCTGCTGTACTTATTCCGGGTTCACTCTCCATGCAATCAAAAGAAGTGCAACCCCTATTTTTCAATACCCAAATACATAATTCATTGCCAATTTTAGTGGATTGAAAAAAAAACAAAACTTTAAGAAAAAAGAAAAGAAAGTAAACATAAAATTCCACTTGGGCACTGGTATAGATAGTTGAGGTAGCTTAGAGG